AGTGAAATAACAAAAAAAAGAGAAGAAAAAGAAAGCAAGAAGGAGAGAAACAGAAGGAGAGAGACCCGAGGAAATACCACAAAGACGAAAGGAAAGGACAGGAGAGAAAGAATTAAAGAATGAGAATAATAAAGAAAAGAAAAAGAAGAAAGAAGAAGGAAATACCACAAGACACCCCAAAGGAAAGAAGAGAAAATATAAACAACATGAAAAATAAAAAAAGAGAAAGAAGAAGGAAGAAGGAGAAGAGGCAAGAAATACAACAAAAGACTCCCAAAGCAGAGAGAAAAATATAAAAGCAATGAATAATAAAAAAAAGAAAAAAAAGAAGAATAAACAATAATGAAAAAAAAAGAAGAAATAGAAGAGAAAAATTACCACAAAGACTCCACAAGCGGAAAGAGCGAGAGAGAAGAACATAAACAAATGAATAATAAAAAGAAAGGAGAAAAAGAAGAGGAGAAGAAGAAGGAGGAAGAAGGAAGGAGATTAATACCACAAAGACTCCACAAAAAGACTGTTCAGGCATTCACCTTGCAGGTTAGTTGACAGAGGAGCGAGGCAGCTGCATACCACAGGCACAATGCAGGCACCGAGAGCAGGAAGGTTGCACGGGTATGTTGGATTTGTTGATCCCAAAAAATTGATTGACGAAAACCTCATCGCGTTTTATCGGTTCTTCGGAATAAAATAATAAAAAAATAAAATAAAAATGAAAAATAAAAATGGTATTTGTGGCTTGGTTCTGCCCACGGATTCATGGCGGAATAAAATAGTATTTTATATGTTTGCGTTCTGTGGGGGTGATGGGCGAGAGTTATTTGTGTTAGGGTGGATGTATGAAGTGAATGTTGTGTAGTTTGTGCTGTGTGTGGATCTGGATGTAGGCTGTAGAGTGGTGGTTGTGCGTAGGTGATTATGTTAGTGGTGGTGATTGTGTAGCGTTTGTGCTGTGAATTTAGGGGGCGTAGTGATGGTATGTTAGTTTGGTTGTTCCTGTGTATGTGCGCGTGTCTGTGGATTTGTGACGAGGCGTGATGCTTTAGATTGTGTGTTGTGTGTAGTGTGCAGTGGGAGAAGTGTGGGTATGTGAGGGACCTTGTGTATCGTGTGTGGTGTGTTGCGTTTACGGAAAGTGTTGACTTGTAACTATGTTTGGAAAAATGGCTGTGTTTGTTTAAATTGGACTTGTGATGGTGTGTGAATTGTAACGCGAGTGTCTACTATCCTTCTATCTAGTGTCTATTTCGTATCATAAATCTATTTTTTCTATCTACCCCATGCTATACCAAAGCTATAATATAGGATGACAGATATTTACGATGAGATGTAGACAGAAATATAGATAATATAGAAAGACATAAACAGATATAGATAAGTTATAGAAATACGGTAAACAAGAGTATTAGATAGATATAGAAAGACATAAACAGATATAGAATAGATATAGAAGACATAAACAGAGTATAGGGGTAGATATGAGAAAGACATAAACACATATGAGACTAGATATAGAAAGACATAAAAACAGATATAGATTAGATATAGAAAGAACCATTAAACAGATTATAGAATAGATAAGAAAGACCTAAACAGATATAGATAGTATAGAAGAGACATAAACAAATAAGATAGATAGGGGAGGGACAGCTCGAGGGATACAGGAAGGATAGGAAAGACCCTAAAACAAATACAGGACAGACAATAGATACAGATCAATATCTTGGGTGTAAGTGTACCGTTCATGTGTACAGCTGCCGTGAGGGTGTGCAGTTCCAGGGCTGTGAACAAGCGTGGGGAGGTTGTCGCCAAGGAGGGCACAACTTTCTTAGATGTGATAGCAACTGTGAGAGCGATAGGCTTAACACTTTCTTTGGTCTCGCTACAATAAATGCCATTCGTTTACGTGTAAGGTGAACAAGAAGGACGGTATCATATGAGTGTACATTTGGTATGCATACTTGTATATGGAATAAGGGTATATTTTGGGATGCTGTGTTTCTTTTTTGGAGTTTTTAATTTATGCGTTTTTTCAGGAATTAAGGATGGATGATGTATACCCGGTGCGGCGACACAGGACAGATACCAACACGACGCAGACAACAGGACACACACACACACACACACACACGACACACACACACACACACACACACAGTTCCACACACACACACACACACAGCACAAGCACACACACACACACGACAACACACACCACACCAGAGACCAGCCAGACAGCAAAGAACCACACACAGGAAACCAGCACACGACACGCAACACGACACCACGGCACACGTCACACACCACACCAACACACACAGACACGATTCAACCCACACAGACACAGACCACACGACACAACACACACACACAACAACACACCAGGCACAGACCACACCACACGACACAACACACACACACAACAACGGCAACACACACACACACGACACACAAGACACAGCACCACACACACACACACACACACACACACCACTCTTCACTCACACCCTACACCGACACCACACCTCGTACACCACCCACACCCTACCACACCCACAACCCCTACACAGCCACAACCTTCCCCGACACCCCAGCCTACAACCCCTCCTCCCGTTCTCGTGCCCCAACACTACACATCCCCCCTCGCCCACCCTTTCTTCCGTCACTGACCCAAACCACGTTAACCCCTACGATTAAGGTCGTCCAATATGTCCGGTGTGCAATAGTGAAGAGGGTACATATGTCAAAACGGGCATTATGGATACGGGTTTCAGGAAGGGAGCTCGCATTGATATGTGTTTTGGTTTTAAATCTGTGTGTGGCTCTGGTGACACTGGGAGTGTGGGAGGGGGTGATGCTGTGTGTGTGATGTGTGTGTGTGCGGACTCGTGCCGGCGTGCGTGTGATGTGTGTGTGGTGATGTGAGGAAGAGGATCAGGAATGATGTGTTGATGGAGGGGGGGAGGCCATGTAGGTGATGGAGTGTGGTGAGGGCGGTGTGTAGTGAAGTGGTGGGTGTGCGTGCAGATAAAGNGTGACATTAATAATAATAATAATTGTGAAAATGATGATAATGATTAGAATAACGATAATGGGTGATGAAAATTATAAGGATAATAATAGCAACAATGATAAAAATAGTATTAATAATAAAAGTAATAATAATAACAATAACAATAATAATGAAAATATCAACAGTAATAATGATGATTAATAATAATAATAATAATAATAATAATAATAATAATGATAACAGTAACAATAAAAACAACAGCAAAAATAGTAACAGAATAAAAGGATTCGATACACAAAGCCACCGATCAACGCCCTACGACAGCCGAAGGGCACAGAGGAACCCCCAATAGAGACTAAACTCAGCCAGGAAGACAAGCAAAGCCGCCCCCAGTCCGAAGCCAAGGAGCATGAGAGGCCCCTGCATATGCTTCACGGTAAGTGGCTTGGGTCCGCTGTCGAGGTGTTCTCTCCCTTGCTCTTTCTTCTTTCTGCTGTTCTTGCTTTTTGCTGCTCTCTCGTCTTGCTATCTCGATGAGGTCTTCTATCCATTTGTTGTACAGGCCGCTCTGAAGAGGGAGAGAAGGCGGGAAGTGTACAGCTACCACCATTACCGCTAACCGTGCTAATGCGATGATAGAGCCTCGACTTCGGATTAATGTCTATTTATTCTCCATAACAAAGTCTGCACTTTGGTTAAATTTTGCAAATCTATTTACTTGTATTAAAATTTTGTTTGAATTCTTGCATCTAGATATAAAGGTAATAATTAATTACTAACAGCACTCAATGCCGAAGTCATTGCATTAGCATCGCATTCGTATCATTTGCGGTAATTCCGTTAATGCTTTGAGACGGATGAGTCACGTGGCATTGTGGTTAGGTTGCATGTCGAGTCCTTGAGGATATATCTTTCCGAGTCTACATAAATGCATTAATACTTCTGACTTACATACGCTTATAAACACCTACGACAAACTAGCACTGTATATGAATTTCTGAATCACGTCCATCCTCTGTAACTCCACTATCATACTCTACTGCAAGTCTATAAATAATTTCCGTACAAAGTCAGTATAGATAGATAGAGCCCCGTGCTAAGATTTTTTGTTCTCTCAGGGTTATTAAGCGTTCAGGGAGTTAGAATCAAAGAGGGTATGTGATAAAATGCATTACTGCTTCATTATATCCTATAATTAGCGTGATTGTTGTGTTTTTTACATTGTTGGTACGTAGGGGCAAAACTATGTATGTAATGTCAATTTTTCAAAACGTAAATCTGTCTTTCCTTTATTTCTTATTCTTCAAATGAACAACGACAGATACTGAGTGAGTTGCAAATATAGTAAGACAGCGACCTAGGTGAGCCAGTGTTTGTATTGTATTTATTTAGGCATTATTAATAAACTTAACAAAACATTTAAAAAAACAATCTAGGCGATCACACTGGCCTTTGTCATTTCTATACGCTATTTTTTATGCAATTCATTTATAATCAACAAAAATACACGCATATACATACATACTTGTGTTTATATATATATATATATATATATATATATATATATATATATATATATATATATATATATATATATATATATTCATTTATCTGCTGATTCACTCCTTTAATCACTTACTTATTTATGCATTTCTTCTTTTATTATCCAAAACTTAGCAATCTCAGAAGCTCACCTCGGCGAACGCCATGAGGTAGCGGTCCAGCTGGGGTTTGTACGGCGCATCATGAGGAATGGGCCAGGCGGCGGGGCTCGGGAAAATGGGATTCCTTCCTATGTAAAGTTTGGTCTGGCCGTTGACATCTGTGAAGTCCTGGGCGATGGTGTATTCCAGGTACCGTAAGCTACATAGGAGAGCGTGGCTGTGGGTAGTATAAAAGGCGAGATTTTTATAGTTGGGAATGGGGTTGAGAAGCGAAGGAGGATGGACAGGGGGCACGAGTATAAAGTTTTGAAAAAAGTGGACGGTTATGAAAGTAGCTTGTATGATGGTTGGTGTTGTGTTAATTCTTACAGCGTCTATTTTATTATTGTTATTTAACTTTATTCCAACAGTCGAACGTGTAAAACCCAAAAGTCATTATCATAAACCACATACAAACAAAAACGATAATAATCATATAATTGACAGTTACCATATGCAAATAAACAATATACATACAAACAATGCTGGATTTCAACCCGCGTCCCTGTACCCCATAAACGTACTTTTTCTCAAGAACTAGATTTAACCCTTCGTGCACGGAAGGCCCGATGAAGAGGAGCCTGCCAAGGGCCTGGAAGACGGGCGAGTCTGAATTCGTGAAGAATGCTTTCCAGTCGTGTCCGTAGCTTGGCATGTTTATTCTGGAAGGGAGACAGGGAGGGAAGGAGGGAGGGTGAGGAGAAAAGGATAGCGGGAAGGATGGGGGGATATGAAGAGTGAGAAGGAGGACGGAAGGGAGGGAAAGAGAGAGAGCGAAGGAAGGATGGAGGGAGAAAGGAGAGGGGGGAAAAGGGGAAAGAGGGTAGGAATGAGAGAGATGAGGGAAGGAGGGAGGATGGGAGAGAAAGTGAAGAAAGGGGGAGGGAGGGGAGAGACAGGAATGGAGGGAGGGTGGGAAAGGGAAAGAGGGAGGGAAGAATGGAGAGAAAGAGGGAGGGGGGAAAGAGAAAGAGAGGGGGGGCGGAGAGAGGGAGAGAATAAGAGATGGGAGGTGTGAGAGGGAGGGAGGGAGGGAGAGAGAGAGATTGTCACTTGCTTTACAAATGATACTTACTCCAGATATTTATAAAAATAAATATGTGTATATCAACAAACCTATAACTTAACATATATTTACTTTCTGATACATATCCTTACCTTTCCACAGTTTCAACAAGCTCAGCCACTGTTTCTGGCCTGGGAGGGTACACAGGGAGAGTGAGATAAGCAGTTAAGTTACCCCTGTAAGCTACCCCGATGATGAAAGAGAAAACGAGCCACGCCGTGATCAGAAGACGGGCCGAGGTTGTTTTGAAGGCAGACTGCGTTAGATTTTGACCCACAAACGTTTTGAACACTTCGAGGGAAAGCTTGCAGAAGTCTAACGTTCTGACGTTGTCCCACCTACTTCTGAGGTGGGCAATCTGTGTTGGGATATTTAATTTGGGTTGTGATATGTGGGTCGAAACTGGGTTGGATGTATATTCAATATATGTTTAGTATATCAAGTGTTATCAGCTGTATTATGAACATTGTGTCGATTTTTTGAGAATAAAAAAATATACATTATTTCACTATACAATCCTCTTTAACACAAACTAATCATACTGCCTACACAATCTTACCAATGAAGACCATAACACAACACGCCCCACACCCAAACCCACCAACACTCACCACAACCAAAACCACACACCATACGCTACACCCTAAACCTCAACACTCCCACAACCAACACCACAACACAACCAAACCACAACACTCCACCCAACCCACAACCAACACCACACCATTACACTCACACAACCAACACAACACAATACTCACCACAACATACTCAACACCACATTACCTCACCACAACCAACATCACAACACAATACTCACCACAACCAACACAACATTACACTCACCACAACAAACACCACGGGCACAATAACCAGCACAGTCATTGTCCCAGCCCAAACTTGGTGAGCCAGGGGGTAATAGAGGCTCTCCCACTGTGGCCGCAGACCGGGTTTCGACAGACAGAAGCTCTCGTAAGAAAACTGGTAAGTGTAGGTGAAGTCGTGGCGTTCGAGACGATTCACGAGTACGACGTAGTAAATGGAAGCTATGAATGAAACTCTTTCCTCGACTCTTTGTGTTACCTGGAAGAAGGTACGGTGAATGGCCGTGCTTTTATACTGATGGACTGAGGAGTAATAGTTCGTTTAATGGAAATCGTTGTTTTTATAGTAATATGGTAATAGTAATGTTTATGATGGTATTAATCGTTTTTTAATGGCAATGATTATTCTAATAGTAATGGTTTGATAATAGTGATAGTTATTTTGATAGTATTGGTCATGTTAATAGTGATAGTTATTTTAATAGTAATAGTTATTGATAGTTGTTTTAATAGTAACTGTTATTTTGGCAGTGCTAATTATCTTAATGGTAATATTTATTTTAATTTTATCCTAATTGTAATAGTTGTTTTAAAAGCAATAATTCACTTAATATTAGTTTTGTTTTATTTTTTCACAGTGGATATTTACAGAAATATACAGGTCAATCATAAACAAAAAAGGCATGATAGTCATGAAAGAACGTTACTTTCGAAAATTTGCATCGCCTCAGATACGAAGGGAGAATTATACAGGCCTATGTGACTTTTTGAGAAGTATCGCATAATGTGGATTTTCGGTTTACATCAACATCGCTTTTTTACTTTGCAGAGAATAGAAAGTCCGATTCTTGTTGTTGTTGTGTGCGTATATATTGTTATCATTTATAAATACATATGACTAAATGACAACAACAATTTACTAGAGACTAAAAATACGATGTTTTGACTGTAGAATTCTGTAGTTGAAAAATTTCGTGAGATTCAACCCTTTTAAGTGCTAATAATTATAAGAAAATAACGAGCAGTATACAACAAACCTCGTTTTACAGACCTCAACGAAATCTTTCGTAGGAACTTGCCGAATTCGGAAATTGAGAGCCTTCGCTATGGTGTCCAGAGCCATGAAGTCGCTGCCACTGTACTCCTTGACCTTTGACCCATCGGCTGCCATGACCTCCTTCTCGTCCCAAAATGGCGCCCAAACACCAGATGTGATATTGACGTAACCGCCGTGGAAACTATTGGAATAATGCTGGTATAGTATAGTGATGGTGATTATTTGGTTATCTAGGTGGTGAGAGAGAGAGAGAGAGAGAGAGAGAGAGAGAGAGAGAGAGAGAGAGAGAGAGAGAGAGAGAGAGAGAAATATAATAAATAATCAGTGTTGAACGAATTTACGTATGCACTAAAGATAAAGAAATTTTCCAGTAGACAATGCTACAATTAATCTATTTTTCCCACGTTTAGCTCCATTCACATTCATACATTTCACACAAATTTGCCAACACATTCATGATTTTTAACGGACGTATATACATATAAGCCACAGCACGGATATATCAAGAAAGCTCACTTACTTGTCATATTTTTCAGGGAAGATTTCAAAAGATGAGCGAAGAAAAAGGCGAAATTGTCGAGACCAAGAGCCCAGTTTGTAGATTTGCGCGCCCTCTGGGCTGTAGGGCAGGTGGGTGTATAGGCTCGATCTGGAAAGAGTTGCAGAAGTCTATTTCATTTTATTTTTTTTTAATAATTTTACTTTTCTTTGAATTTTCGTCAGTTATATATATACCATCTCTCTTTGTAAAGGCGTCATTCTCTGTCACTACGTTATTTGCGCCTAGTTCTCTTCCTTTTTACGTTGCTTAGCCCTCTCTCTCTGTTCTTATTTTCCTTTTCTATCTTATTTTCTTCTTTTCCCTATACTTTACAGAATTTATCCCTCATTCTTTCCGTTTCTTTTATTCATCTACCATTTCCTTCGCCATCGCCTTCTTCCCGACGTTATTAACAGAGACGCTTAAGCCAACCCTCTCAGGCGGGCAAATTCCAACCTAATAAAGATTGGAAGTAATATTACGCCACCCGCCTCTCTGAGCTTCAAGACCTACCTCCCATTTTCTTCGACGTTAAGCGCAACGGTGTTCATCATAGAAAACGTCCAGCGGGTACTCAAGACTTTTCGAAGGTCACTCAGGGCGAGTCGGGTCACGAGCAGGAGCCTCGTCGTCCACACGAACAGACGACCTTTCAGTGACCTTTCGGCGAACGAGGTCAGGAAAGTCAAATCTTCGCTTATGACGATGACAGAAACAGCGTGTGAGGAGAGACGCACCTGTTGAATTGCGAATGTGAATGAGAGTTAAACTGGAAAAAATGTTAATAGAAAAAGATGGATTCAATAAATAAGATGAACAAGATAAACTAGTGATGAATATATTGTTGACGTATTTAAATTCGGAGCTGACTTTTTGTGACATCTGGGAATCAATTTGGGTTCGTTTTAAAAAAAAAAAAAAAATGCACATTTTGTTTCCAAGCAGCTTAGATTTGCCTTTTCCCTTTAACCTTTCCTCTCTCTCTCTCTCTCTCTCTCTCCCTTCCCTATGCCTCTCTCTCTCTCTCTGGATCTCATACTTCCTCTCTCCCCTCTCCCTCTCCTATTCCTCTCTGTACGTCTTACCTTGCGAGCCAATCCGATTGCCTCAACGAAACCGGTTTGGTTGCCATGAGCTTTCCAGTCTTCATCTCGGAATTGGAAGACACTCAAGCCCCACGCCGCGTCCATGCTGGTAACTGTCTGGAGTTGTTACATGTTTATGTATGTATATATATATATATATATATATATATATATATATATATATATATATATCTGTGTGTTTATGTATGTATATATGTATACATGTTTTTTATGTAAACGGTAATGTGGTTTTATATCTTTATTCATTCATTACTTTATTATTATCATTATTATTTCTTTAATCTTAGGAGTTTACTTGTGTTGTTATTGGAGTTTGTAGGATGCAAAAAAGGTGAAATCGAAGTTGTATTTCAGGTGGCGTTCACGGAATAAAAACTAAAAATAGAATAAAAACATTATAAAATCAACATAAATGATTCATATTTTTTCAGAATTATGATATATATATATATATATATATATATATATATATATATATATATATATATATATATATATTATATAATATATACACGTACATACATGTTATCAAAATTAAACTCTGGATAGATATAGAAAAAAAATGAATTCAAATTGATAATTCTACAATACAATATATAAATCAACGTTTCGATGCTACACCTTCAAAGGAATCACTGATAATCACATACACAGAATTCCGTTTTCTTTCTTTCGTTCTTTCTATTTCCTCTACAAAAAGAAACAAAATGGGATCGAACCTGACAGAGGGCGCTGGAGGAGGTCGAGCCATCGGTGAAGAAAATGAGCGAGGAAGAAGGTCGAGTCGATTCGCTGATGACGTCGACGACTGCTTCAGAGGCGACGGAAAGCAGGTCTCGAGGACGGGGCGAAACTGAGGAAACGACAGAAGGGGTTTTGCTATTGATATTTTCACGAAAACGCTAGACTGGACTTTAAAAACACTAGATATAAGGGTAAAATCCTAATTTTCTCCACTGAAAAAGGACTTAAAAATCGCTGAATAGAAACGTTCCAAATTTTCCGCTAGATTAATTTGAAAACTATATCTAGGGAAAATCGCTAGTGGCAATGGGGGGGGGGTATGTCTTACAAAAAAAATAATAATTGGCAACTCACCATACTCTGGCGTACTCCGATTCGCCGTTTTATTTATTCTCTTTTTTTTATCCTAATCAGTTGGCAGTTGATACGTATGCTTACATGTGTTTTGTAATTTTCATTTTTTGTGTACAATAATTCTAATGTAGAATTTTCTTCAGATTTGCATTGTGTTTTAAAAACAGCACCTGTTCACTCCCACCTGTCTAAAGCCGTTTCTTATATTTTCCAGCTATCTTTATTCACAAACGTTGTGTTATTTTTTTTTATGCAAATTTTCCTCTGTTGAAGATTATTCCGTTTTCGAAATAATGAGAAAAGATTGGAGGCCACTTTTTATGCATTATCAAACGTTTATTGAGCCATTTCTTACGGTTTTATTGCTGTATCTTATATAAAAAAAGAAAAAATCGCGTCGCTCGCCTTTTTATCTGATGCAACGAAAATTAAACGCAGACATGCCACATCACATGTAAATATACTAAATGTGTAATAATACCGTTGTGATATCAGTAAATTATTTATTTACCATATTAATAATACAATAGATTATCAAAATAGGGTCAATAACGATTTGCGTGTTATTTCTATTACCGGCATTAACTCTGAAATGTGGCACAGTGCAAATCAGAGACAAAATCGCAAAGAATAGTCTCATACCTTTTGTGAATACCGCCCCTGAACTCTGATTGTGTGTATTTATGCATATTTGTCTATCAAATTATCTGCGCACAGTCCTATAACAGTCATCAAGGTTATTATAGCGCAAAGACGCTACTCATGTCTTCTGCCAATATTTATCATGACATGAATCAGTGAAACTAACCTCATTCTTTAGGTTTCGTCATACTGCCTACACCGTTATCCATTATCCAGCGTATTTCACCTACTTGATAAAGTATCTGCACTTCACTACATGTAACTTTCTTCGCGAATGTCTTTAGCCAAGTCATGTACTAGAATCCAACCTTCTCTACTCACACGACAAAGATATAACCTAGACAGTACTCCATCTTCTCCAAGGACTTTTATATCAAAATACTATCCGAAAAGAACAAGATACAACGAGGTTTCTTACCAGAGTGTTGGAGATTCTTGCTGATGACGTGAACCACCAGACAAGAGGTCATTAGGATCGAGTACTTCATAGCTGTTCAGATCCTCTTCGTCTGTGAAATGCGACAGGAAGCTGTTGGGGGGGGGGTTATTTAGCAAATTAGCATTTTGTTGTGCAGTCTATCTTCTTTTAGATGTAGGTTTTGTGGTGGTGTTGGTGGTAATCAGATGATGGCAATAATGATGTTGATGTGATTTTTTTTTTATTTCATTAAATTTTTTATTTATTTAGCAATTTATCATCTTGTAGCGGTGGTAACGATGATGATTATGGTGATAGTGATGATGACAATAATGATAATAAGGATGATGATGATTGTGATAGTGGTAGTAATGATAATGACAATAATGACAAGTAGAATAGAAAATATAACATTCATCAATGTGCCTAATAGCCGCGTAATGTATAAGCACATCAAACACATTTTCTTATATAGATTTGCATGCATAATCTCGTCCCACCCCCAAAAAAGTCTTCTTCATACACGTAAAGAACTAAAAGCGTTTTGAATATACAACGCAAAATAGGAAGACCTTGTTGAGTAAAATTCCTTAGACATTATTAGTACTACAAGCAAGGACACGCTTAAAATATTCACCATTAGAGCAGTATATATCGCCTTAGGAAAAAAAATTACAGCTCAGTTATATAAACTGTTATGTGCTTTGCGTGTGTAATTGCTAACAAGGCCTTTAAGTATCGGTCATGCAACGGCGAAGATTTATGAAAATATTTGATATTTATGGATCGTTATGGTTGGTGACCGTTTTGTCTTCGAGTTTGCGTCATACCGTAAATCATCTTAGAACATGAGGTGGGTGAAGGGCCAGTTGGAACGTTTTCACATGGCTGGACATTTTAAAATCATTATGGAGTTTTTCTTCTCATCTCTACAGATTTATCTATCTATCTATCTATCTCTATATATGTGGTAATCTAAGTATGTATTTATTTTTTTTCTATTTATTATGTAACTGTCGTTATGCTTTACATTTTTTTCTTTGTTTGTCTAGCTACCTATCTGTCCATATGCTTATCTGCCTCTCTATATCTCAGGCTTTTTTCTGTTTATTTTCGGTATTCTCTCTTTCCATCTGCCTGCTCCCACCCCTTCCCCCTCTCTCTTTCCCTTCCTCCCCTTCTCTCTCCCTCCCTCCCTCTTTCCGTCTTCCTCAAGAAGAGGTTGAGGCATTGTACATCAATGAGAGACACTGAGGCAGTAAGCTCTTGACTTAACCGAAAGTAACCCTAAACAGGAATCGACACCCCAACGGTCTATAAGATTGCGTCCTGGTTAACCTACCAACCAATCATTTTAAAGATACCTCAGCACAAGAGCATAAACTTTAGCTTTGGTAACTATAGGAGAGCGAGCAGACCGCAAGGAGAACGAGTTAAGTTAGAATGCAAAAGAAATTATTCTAGTCAGAGACTGGATTAGACATAGCGAGACAAGGTCTGTGAAGCTTGTACTGTATTGCATTGTATGTATCCATGGAAAGTGAAAACATAAAACTTATAACTTAAATGCTCTACCCAATAGCACAAGCAAACAAATAACTCATAGGAACACAATACACAGTTCAATAATATCTAAAAATATCGGCCAAGAATGCAAGGTTCCAAGCCATAGCTCACTAATAAATTAGGCCATAATTATAGTTATTCTGAATTGCCATTAGCCTTGTTTGTTGAGTCCCAAACAAAGACTATATATAGCGGTCGCAAAGGTAGGGGGAGCAGAGGAGCGATCAGCTGATACGATGTAATGTGTGAAATTAAGGGTGTGATTTGAGAGCGGGAAAAGGTGCAGTTATCAATTATCTTTTTTTATTGTGAAAAAGACGCGACGATACGTAGATTATTTTAAATTGCATTAAGAATACGAAAAAAGTATATGGGCGGATAATCATACAGAAAGTGTGTGAAAAGACTTGATAATTGTTAAGATACATGAATTCGTAAAACGGTATATATATATATATATATATATATATATATATAATATATATATATATATATGAAGGATAATAACAGAAAACTTAATCAAGAACAATAGTTAAGTCAACTTTGTTCCTTATATCTGAGGAAAAGAAAATATTGTAGTTACTTATATACCGGAATGATAACTGACAAAATATTAGGGTGTGAAAAAATTTAAATAACTAAGAACAATGACATAACCAAGTCCGCCATAAGAAATCATTAGAGCCGGGGATTAGTCCCTTTAGCCTAACCTCAAAACTACGATTATATTCGTTCATCGTGTTATTTCACTATTGATTCACAGCGTCTAATTTTTCAACATAGAATTCTTTGTGTTCCTTTACCCGGGATTAGAATCAAGAGTATAATCATTAGTTCCACTTCAAGGACAGGGGGGGGGGCTTGTTGAAGTAGCATTAGAGATCAAACATCCTCGTGTTGTCGTTTGTCGGGCGGGGGGGGGGGGGGCTCGAAGTAGCATTTAGAGATAAACTTCCTCGTGTTTGTCGGTTTGTCGAAGCGGGGGGGGGCTAGCATTAGAGATTAAAACTTCCTCGTGTTTGTCGGTTTGTCGAGTGGCGGGGGGGGGGGGGGGGGAGTGCGCGTTAATCTTGAACGGCAGACGGCGAGGAAGCGAGGTGGGCGGAGTGGAAGAGGGGAGGTCCACCCTCGTTCACTCGACGCCCGTTCCCTTTTGGTGTTTCTGCACGACGGGTCACATGAAGTAGTAGGACAGGAGACATGCTATCCTATTGTCCTATGTCCCTCCTTGATTTGATTTAATATGTTTAATCTCTATGATTTCCCTTATACATGCTTGTTAACTGCCTATTTCTAACAGAGAGTTCTAGGAAGTATTAGTAAGGCACGTCGATAGTTCAATCCTAGCCATTTAAAATCA